CAGGAGCGGGGATTGCTCCAGGACTGCAGCCCAGCCACCAGCATAGTGTCTGACCTGCAGTCATGGTGTAACGCCTGTGGTCAGGGCGTGTCATCCGTGGCTGCTGTGTGCAAAAGGAGTGGTGCCAGGGCTTGGTACCCCAGGCATCCAGCCTGCCATTGGCTGTGTTAGCGCAGCTGTCAGCAGTCATGCCGTGACCACCTGGCTCCCCTGGGGGGCCACACCCCTGGGCACAGACAGTGGAGCTGGGGTGTTGGGGTGCCTCAGGTAGGAACCCTGTTCCTACCTGCTGCTGGACAGGCTGTGGGCAGGGGGAAGTGAGACCTCAGGGGCTGGAGTGTGGTGGGGAGCATCACATCAGCCTGCCTGCCCAATGCCTCCCTGTCTGCCTGCCCAAGGCCTGCTCCAGAGCACTTCTTCAGAGCCAGGAGCAATTTGTAGAGCCAGGAGGGAGCCCCAGACAGTGCCAGCTGGCAGAGGAATTGCTGGGAGGGCCAGCAGGCTGCAGGCAGGGCCCACAGCAGCTCCCACATCACCTGGCTGGAGGAAGAGCATGAGGAAGAGGAGGAGGAGTGACCTTGGAGTGGAGCTGGCAGACACAACACCACTGCAGGCCCGACAGGGGTTGCTACCGCTGCCGGGGCTCTGTCATATCCTCGCCATGGTCTTTCCTCAGCCACAGTCATGCGCTAGTGTGCAGGGCCTCAACACGGGAGGGAGACCTGCATCCCTGTTCCCCAGACACCCCAATATACCCCCATGTCCTGGCTCAGTGCCCATGTCCCACCAGGGGCATATCCTGCTGCCATAGGGCCGCTGGACCCCAGTGGTCCCAGGCAGGTTGCTCTGGTGGGCAGGTGTTGCTGGTGCAGGGATTATGAGCACCGACACCAGTGCTCAGCACTACTTAATTGTCTTCTTACATTCACTTTTATCTCTCTGTCTGCGGCAGTGATGCAGCGAGGGCAGTCCCTGCTTCCCGGCCACCCAGATGTCCTCCTCGGGTTTATTTTTGTTTCTTTTCCACTTATATCTATTGGCACAAGTTTGGAAGAGCTGCTTCACCCAGGCTGTGACTGCCAGCGGCTCCATGCCCTGCCCAGGCACCTCCTGTCACAAGCATTCTGCTGTCCCCGAGTCCCACCCCGGGTGCCCAGCATGGCTCTCCCCAGGGTGGGTCCTTGGGGATGGGGGATTGTGCTCAGCTTTCCCCCATGGATAACACATCCAGGGGCCATGGACACACATCTTGCAGTTCACACACCCACATTTCCTCCTGGGCACGGGTCTGTTCCTGCTTACATGTGCCCCTAGCTTGTGCCCACCCACTGTCTGTGCTGGCTGCAGGGTGTCCTGTGCACCTGCTGCCCTTGGGCTCAGCTCCTGTCTGGGATCCTGCCTGCAGGGAGCCACTCACCTCCTCCAGCACTGGCGGCTCGGCACAGCCCTCAGCTTGGTTTAAGGGGTTACCCCAGTTGTGCTGGGCTGGGCTTGCTGCCCACCTGTACGGGAGCTGTGCGCCATGGCAGGGCAGTGACAGCAGCTGAAGCATCCTCCTCCTCCCAGCACCCCATGTCATTGCTTGCTCCTCTGGTCTGTACCATCCTGTCAGCAGGTCCATGCTGCCCTTCCATCCCTGTCCCTCAGGATCCCAGCCTGAGTCTCTCCTGACCGCCCCACCTGTGGGCTGGCCTTGCTGGGCTGCACTGATGCCAAGCAGGGGGCATGGTTGGGGTGGGGGCATCCCAAACTCTCCCAGATTCAACAGCAGCGTCACCTGTGCAGAGGCAAGATGGGGCAGCTGCAGCGGGTATGCTGGTACAGGTGGGTGGCATGGTGGTGACATGGCCACAGCTGGGTGGAATTGGGACCCATGTGCTGTGCCAGTCCCATTACCCACCTTTGGGTGGGTATTCAGGAGGGTGAACCTGTGGCCAGGGCACTGGGGAGCCAAGGGGTGGTGGGAGGGGTCAGGTACACCCAACATGGAAGCTGGACCCCACCACCTGCCCGCTTGAGAATGGACAGATGGTACCTTATCCCCCAGGGCATGTATGGGTGTGCAGGGCTGGGGCAGCATGGGGGGGCAGGGTGTGACAGCCCCCCAGGGTGACAGTGGTCAGGGGTGGAGATGCCCCCGTGGTGCCTGGGTTCTGGCACACACGGCACTCAGTCCCTGTCACGTAGCATGGCATTGAGGTGCCCACTCCCACCAGCACAGGGCTCTCACTGCTGGGCTTTGAGGTGGGCTTAGAGAGTGGCAAAGCCCCGTGGGACCCCTCAGCCCACGGGGTGCCCACGCAGTGATGCCAGCTCACCATCCACTGACTGGTGACACATGGGGAGCTCTGAATTGCAGCCTGTGACAGCTGGGCAAGCACAGCTCATTCCTCAAACAGAGATAACAGCCTTCGCTGGGATCCAGCCTGGGCTTTATTTATTTACCTGGTTGCTGGACTCTGGCTTGGGGCTTGTGCTCTGGCTTGTGCCCCTGTAGCCCCTCCCACTCCCCAAGGTGGCTCTGAGGGTGTTGTCGAGGTCTGGCACTGCAGGGTGACCCTTGCTTGGGTGGCTTACTCCACCAGTCACCAGCTTTTGGCAGCACCTGTTTTGGGGGAAGTGTTTGCATGAGCCTGTGGCACAGGCGCTCTGGTGTCCCCCCCAGTGACCCACGTGGCTGTGGCATGTCCCCAGCCTGGGGCTGTGCAGTGCCACATCATCTTCCTGCCCCTCATTTTTAAACGGAGTGGCCTTGAGAGTAACCCCAGAGAGGTGCAGCCAGTAACCAAGTCCAATTTCTGTGCTTAAACACCTGATTATTTTCCCATTAAGCACTAATTGCCCCCCAGCCACCTGGCCGAGGCCTACGGCAACTCCAGGGAGCAAACCTGGCTCCCACGGGCAGAGTGGGCTCTGCCTCCGAGCATGAGCGAACACCCTCCAGCTTGCTGTGCCTGGTGTGGGGTTCAGCCAGCTCTAAAATTGCAGCTGCTGCAGGAGAAACCTCTACAGTGAGGGCAGCTCTGCCCCTGACACTGCCAGCCGGAAGGGGAAGTGATGTGTGCCTCAGGGGATGCAGTGGGGAGCAGGCTAGTGGCCATTAGTAGGGGTTGCACCCTCTGGTGAGCAGTTTGATGGTGAAATATGGCCATGCAGAGGGCGGGTTGCTGTGGGTGGCATATCCCACTCATCTGGCTTTGGGGTGACATCCTTCCTGTGCCCTTGCCAAGGGAGCAGAACTGTCATGATTCGTGTCTTGGCAGTTCCGTCTTGTTCCAGGACTCTCCAGTGTGCACAGGGTGCTGCCTCCCTTGCCCCCTGGTGTGCTGTAGTGATGGGGATCAGGACAGCCCCCAGCGTTGGGGTGCCCCTCCTCGTGGGGTGCTTGGTGCCAGGGCTGCCCCCCAGTGTTGCCATCCCTGGGATCCAGGACAGGCAGATGGCAGGTGTGTTGCTGGTGCTAGTGTGGGTGGCAAGGGCTGGCAGGGCTGGCTTGGGGTGCGTGGGCTAGTGCTGGAAGCAGCTCCTGCTGTGACTCATCGCCAGCCCGGGGGCGGCCAGCCTGGCCCTGCTCCCGGTGCAGCCCCACAGCCCTGCTCCCTACCCAGTGCTGCCTGGAGGAACACTGTGGGCATGGCCATGCGTAGCAAGGTGAGGGGCAGGGTAGGGCTGCACAGCTGTGTGCTGTGCCCCCATCCATCTCTGCCTCCCATCCAAATGCGCTCCCTATTCAGCTGCACTTCTCCTCCAGCTGTGCCCCCTCCAGCTGCACACTCCCATCCAGCTGTGCCGTCATCTTTGCCTCACATCCAGCTCTGCTCCCCATCCAGTTGTGCCCCATCCAGCCCTGTCTCCCATCCAGCTGTCCTCCAATCCAGCTCTGCCTCCCATCCAGCTGTGCCCAACCTGAGTGCTGGGCATACTGAGGGTCACCTGTTTCCGCACTGCCACCAGCTTGTGAGGGAGGGACACTCATGCTCATGCTGTGGCAGGACCAGCAGTGTCACCATCAAAACCAGGCCCCCAGCGTGTCCCTGCAGCCCCCCGCTGAAGGTGACACCTGAAGCCTGGCTCTGTGTGTCACTGTCCTGTCTGGTCACAGTTCCTCCCTCCAGCTCTGCACATGGTTGGCCACCCAGTCCAGGACTCAGCTTTGTACAGGACACGGAGACTCTGTGTCCCCCTAGGAGGTCCCGCTGGCCTGAGCCTGCCTGGGGTGGTGAACCAGGGTGCTCCCGGCCATGACAGTGCTGCCGTGGTGTGATGGGTCAGGTGAGGTGGAGCATGGGGGGCGCATGCCTGTTCCCAGGGAGTGGAAGTGCCCCGGAGCTGACATGGACATGAGACACCCCATGACACTGCGAGGGAGGTTTGGGGTGCAGTGCTGGGAAGGGCTGGCTCCCACTGCTTCCCCTGGGCAATGCCGAAGGGATGGGATCCTACTTGCCAGTGCTAGCACTGACCTGTCACAGCCCTACTGAGGCTTTGGGGGGTTGATTTGGGACTTTTGGTTTGACAGTCACCACACGAGCTTCAGTCTGTGCTAGTTGGATTTCAGATCCCTGTGTGGGGCAGGCTGGGGTGGGAGACCCTGGTCACTGCCAGATCTGTGGGGCTCAGAGTGTCCTGTAACACATCCTACCATGAGATGGTGACAGCCCTGGGGCTGGAAGTGTGGGAGTATGGTTACTGGCTGCTCTTCCCTGAGGCAGCAAACTTGCAGGTCATGGGATCACAGACTATCTCAAGTTGGAAGGGACACATAAAGATCATCGAGTCCAACTCCTCGATCGTTAAGCCTGTCGTTAATTGCAGCCAGTAATAGCTTTCTGGAGGCAAAGCAGGGCCAAGGGATGGCTCTGGTGAAGCCCTTCCATACCTGGGAGCTGCAGCGAGAGCATCCTGGGGCAGCTGGATCCCATTCCAAGAGGCCATGGACAGACCTGGAGGCACATTTGACCCCTCTCCTCCTCCTGAGCTCTTTTCTCCTGTCCCCACAGCAGTGTCCTGTCCCCGGAGCCTGGACTGTGCCCTGCAGCGCCGAGAGTTCTGCCCACCGGGGTCAGGTGCCTGTGGGCCCTGCCTGCCCCCCTTCCAGGAGGATGACCACGGGCGCTGTGTCCAGAAGCAGTTCTCACCCAGTGGTAGGTGCACCCACTCCACAGCAGTCCCTTCACCCCCTGCCTGCACACCTGCCCCTCCCTTCTGCAGCTCTGGGAGGTTCTGTGCCTCAGGGAGCACCCTGCCCCATCAGCACCCCATCCTCTGCTCTCTCCTCTCCATGGCAGCCATATCTCTGTGGGGATGGCTGCTCTGCTCCCTCTCACTCTGCTCACCGCAGCTGAGGGGTGGTTTTGGGGTTGGCAAGGAGCATGTGGACCCCACTCTGCTCCCCATGCATCCTCCTTGGGTGACTGCGTGTGGCCTTGCCAGCACCTCAGGGTCCCAGGACCGCTGGGGACAGGAGGGGCCCAGGTGGCTTCCAGGGCTCTCTGGGGTCTGCCTGGCTGTTCCAGGGTGCAGGCTCTGCAGGAGCAGGGAGGCAGTTTTCAGCACACAGAGCTGTGACTTGTGCTGACCCTGTGGTCGAGACAAATGGGTGTCCACAGCCTCACCCACCCCGGGGCTGAGTTGAGACATTGGCCTGTAGTTCAGGGCTGCTGCCTCCTCCTTGGGTGATGCCCAGCATCTGTGCCAGGAGGGCTGGAGTCGGCAGCACCAGGCAGGACCGTGCCTGCCTACGCACTGGGGTACCAAAGGCTGTGCAGGGTATTATTCCTGGCTCCTTTCCGGAGGGATATGAGGGGCCGTGACAGCCTGGGTGGCTGCACTGTGCCAGTGGGGAGAGAGACAGGCAGCATCCTGGGAGCAGCAGCCCATGGTCACCCATCCCACTGCTGCTGCAGTAGATGGAGGGTGCTGCCGGTGTAGCCATGGCACTTATGCCCCAGTTTGGCTGCAAAGACAGTGCCAGGCACAGGCATTTTTTAGCATGACCCTCAACTCTTCATGATGCTTGGAAAGCTGTGGCAGAGCTGTCCCTGCCCCTTTGTCGTGGGGTTTTATGCAGGTTTGACACACAGGTGAATTAAGACCATAATTAGGGCTCCACACAATTATTTTTCCTGTAACTATAGTGGAGCAGCCTCTGTGTCTGGGGAAGAGGCCAGGACTGGCCATGCCCTTGGGCTGCTCCTGGTGTGTTCTGCTGGAGACCATCTGGATGCAAGGTGACAGCTCTGGAGCACCTCTGAACCACCTCCTGCTGCAGAGCATTATAGCATCTCCCCCTCGCCTGCCCTTCTCCATCTGCTCTTTGCTCCCGCTGACCCCAAAAGCCTCCTGCTAAGTGGGGTGCCAAGTCCTGGGGAGCTTCCAAAAACATGCAGGGTGGCTTGTCCTGTGCCAGGCAAGATGGAAAAGTGCTAGTCACTGACCCAAAGAGGCAGCTCCCCTTGTATTTGAGTTCCATGCAGACATGGAGGGGGCCTCTGGATTTTGGTGGATTGCTTTATGTTCTTGAGCACGTTCAGGGTCCTGTCGGGGGGCAGCCAGAGCTGCTCTTTGCCCACGGCTCAGCCTGGGTGGGCACATGGGGGATGGCAGAGCCCAGCATGCCTTTAGTGCTGTTCCTCGTGGCAGGAGCATCAACCTGTAAATCAGAAGGGAGACCCCAAAGTGAGGCCCTTTGGCTGAAATGGAAGTGATGGCTGGAGGGGATGAGAGGTGATGGCATGGGGATGGGGTCCAGGCTTGGCATTTGACAGCAATCAGGGGTTCATCACCCCTGCCACAGGCTCCTTATCCACAAGTATCAAATGGCTTTGGCAGTTGTGTATGTTTTATTTTTTAATATGAAGTCTTGGAAGCAAATTCCCCTCTCAGAAGGGCTGCACATGCGCTGGCATCTCCATAGCAACCCAGCTCCTTTCTGAAGAATGCAGCCACAGTTGTATCTTCACCCGGAGAGATGTAGGACCACGGTACCATGCTCTGAGGACCCACCCTGGGAGGATAGTGACCATCTGGGTCTCTCCCAACCCCATTCTATTGTCCCATGCAATGCCACTAGCTTGTGGCAGCAAAAGTGTGGGTACTAGGGTAAATGAAAAAGAGGGATCCCCTCCCAAATCCTCTGTTTTAGCATCCTGAGGATGCCCAGCTCCTCTTGATGGGGAGGCACCAATTTTTTTTTCATGAGGGCTTTTACATCCTGCCTGTACCTTGATCTGGCAGCAGCACTGGAGAAGGTTGCAAGGATGAGGAGGGGCTGTGATAGCTGCATTTTGGGGGGGATGCAAGGCAAACAGAGGGGACTGCTGTGGCTCAAGGATGCCTAACCCTTTAAAGGGAGTGCCCCTTTGCTGTGTGGTTAGGGATACTTGAGCCACTTGCAACTGCTACTGATGCTGATACTGGGATCTCAGCTGCTGCCGGATCCCTGGCAGGAGCTGGAGATCCTCTCCCGAGAGCAGCTTTTTGGGATAAAAAGCATCATTTGGGGTCTCAAGAGCGATGCATGTGAGTGGTGTGTTCCTGCCATTGGTGGCAGTGGGGGTGGGTCTCGGCATACCCGGCACAGACAGCATCAGCACAGAGGTGAGATGGGATGCATAGAATCTCGATGCAGTGCATCCTGCAAGCTGGCTGCCTGCACATGGCTGGTGCTGTCTTGTGCAGGGGTCTGAGCCCCCCAAAATCCCATGCACATCATGGTGCTGCATGTGTCTGTGCTGTGATGGGTTTGAGTGATGTGCTTTGGGCTGGTGGGCCCCATGCCTGCTTCCGCTTGACCAGCATAGAGACCCACCAGGCTGCAGGAAGCACTTTGGAAAAAGGGGGAAAAGGGGATCTAAGCTCACATATAGGGGGGTTCCCCCTTTCCCATTTGCTGGGCTGCTGGCACCAAGGAGGGTATCAGCCATCCTGGGGCAGGACTATAGAAATCAATGGATTTGTGCCCTCCTGTGGACACTGTCAGCCTCAAATTTCCTCTGCCCGGGGCAGAAGTCACACTTGTCTCTCCTTGGTCACTGCTGTCCCCAAAACATCACGGTAACTGGTGAGACCTCGATGTGTGTTCCAGGGTTGAGCCCTGAGGAGGGAGAAGCCCCCAGGAGGGGTCTGGGGGAGAGGGGAGGGGCTACAGTGCTCTGCACCATCCTGGCTGTGCTATCCTGCTGCAGGCGGCAGCGGGACCTACCATGAGAGGGCACCCGCTCCCTGCACAAGCCCTGCCTGCACCTCTGAGTGCCCTGTGCATGTCCTGTGTGTCCTGTGTGCCCTGTCCCTGCCCTGTGTGCCCTGTGTGCTCGGCCATACCCTACCTGTCCTGTTCCTCCCCAGCATGCCCAACCCGCTGCAGCATCTCTGCTCCTGCTGTTCCTGGGATGGTCAGGCAGGAATTGGGGCTCAACCTGGCCCCCTGTTCCCTGTAGCAGCTCAGGGCAAGTGTCTCACCTAAGAATCAACCTGCCAGTACCATCTTGCCTTTGTATGTTTGGATTTATCCTCCAGGGCTTTCCATCTGAATATGGGCAGAGGGAACAGGCATAGGGATGGGGATTGGGATGGGAACAGGGATAGGACAGGGATGTCTTCTGCCTTTGAAATTGAGATTAATCCTGTTAAAAGCAGCGGTGAGTGTCAGAGCTGGACTCTGCTCAGTGAGCCTGAGAAGAGCAGCTCCATTCCTGCTCCACACTGTCACCTTGTGGGTGGGCAACTCCAGGCTAGAGTGGGGGTCCTGCCCATGCCTGATGCCACAGGAGCCCTCTGCAGGTTGGATGTCCCTGGTGAGCACTGTGCATGAGATGCCACCCATGAGATGCTGGGCCAGCCCCTGGGGATACAGGGTGCTTCTTGCTGCATGGGGCACCCCTACTCCCTTCCCAAAGGGGCTGCATCCTACCAGGCAGAAATCAGCCCCTCCGCTGGAGCGAGGGCTCCCACACTCTGTTGGACAGCCCAGCTGAGCCCTGCTCTGGGGTGGCTCCAGGGCCCCTGGGCTATAAAGAACAATTTGAGGTGAAAACCAGTGTTCAGGTGTCCCCTGCCTGCGACTCACCCTGCTGGAGCTGCCCCTCACCCCTGTGGCAGAGGGGCAGCGGTGGGGTGTCTGTCCTGGTCCAGCTCCCATCCCTCCATACTCGGGGCTACTGTGTGGCCCTAGGGGCAGGGACATGAAGCATGTCCTGCACAGCAGATGCTGGCACCCTGCCTGCTCTCACAGGATCTGCAGGACCTGCTGCCTCTGTCAGAGGGGCAGACACTGTTGTTCCTTCAGCCTCCAGCGTTGCTGGGATGAAAATCCCTCCAAAAGCAGCAAGGACACACATGGGTCCCAGGTCCCAGCTTTGGGAGGGCTGCATCTGAGGGGGCTCAGACTCACCACCACCTGTGTCTGCTGGAGCTGGGCTGCAAGCCCCTTCTTGAGGGGGTCTGGGGGTGGGCACACGGCTGCACCCTGCAGTGCCCACCTCATGCCCACGCTCTCCCGCAGGACGGACCTCCATTCCCAGCTTGGAGGCAGAAATTGATTTTCTGGCAGATGTGCTGGCCAGGCAAGAGGCTCCTCACCACCGCCTGGTACAGGATGGCAGACCCAGGAGTAAGTGCTCTCTCCCTACTCCCAGTGGTACCAGGGACCCCATGGCATCCAGATCCTGCACCCCAGGCTGGTTTGCCCTCCAGAGCTGCCCGGCAGCTGCTCACAGCTGTGCCTTCTCCTGCAGCCACGCTGGTGCCCAACGGCAGCAGACAGCGCCTGGCCAGCGGGCTGAGAGAGGGGCAACTGCAGCGGGGTCCCACCAGCACCACAGCAGCCGCCACCCTCCCCACCACTGCCACGGTCCAGAAGAACCCAGTGGAGGCATCCCCCATCCCTGCAAATGACAACGTGGTGCTCGGTGAGACTCCAGGGACTCGTGGGAAGGGGTTTCACACCCTCACCAGGGAAGCATGGGCTGGTGGCATTGTGCCACTGGCTTATCTGCTGTCCCCCCTCGGTGTCCCCTCTGCCTCCACAGGGCTGATCGTGGTGTGCACAGTGGCCGGGATCTCGGCGCTGATTGTGGCAGCCGTCTGCTGGTGCAGGTGAGCCGGGGCTGCTGATGCAAACCAGTCCCTTGGTGTCCCTGTGCCCTGGACAGTGTATTCCCATGCTTCCCAGGCATGAGGGGTTGGAGGAGAGGCAATAGCTGCCCTTGCCGGTTTCCCCCAGCCATGGGGTCTGCTGGCCGGGGTGGGAGGACAGTGGTGAGACATCCCCATGCCAGGTGCAGGCTCCTGTTGTGGGCATTGCTGTGGCACTGGGTGCTCACACTCCCAGCACGTTGGTGCCTCGTGCCCAGGCCCCATGGGATAGAGGCGGCTATGCGTGGGGGTGCCACCTGTCATGGGTGCCATCTCAGGGAACAGGGATGTGAGTGGGAGAACTGAACCCTTCTGACGGTCACTGGCTCATGAATGGAGTCGTCTGCTCCCATAGTTTCCAACATCCACTAGGATGGACTAGAGAAGTAATTGTCCACGGTGCTGGGCACTGGTGAGGCACCTCAAATCCTGGGGTCAGTTTTGGGCCCCTCATGACAAGAAAGACATTGAGGGGCTGGAGCATGTCCAGAGAAGGACAGTGGAGGTGTGGAAGGGTCTGGAGCACAAGTCTCACGAGGAGCAGGTGAGGGAGTTGGGGGGGGGGGGTTGTGCCTCAGGGCGGGGTATGGGGGGGGGCAAGGCTCAGCCTGGAGAAAGGCAGCCTTCTCACTCTCTACAAGTCCCTGACATAGGAGCCGGGTGGGGGTTGGGCTCTTCTGCCAGGTAACAAGTGACAGGACAAGAGGAAATGGCCTCAAGTTGTGTCAGGGAGGTTTAGGTTGAATATTAGAAATGGTGGTCAGGCACTGGAACAGGCCTGCTCAAGGAGGTGGTGGAGTCACCATCCCTGAAAATGTTCAACAAACGTGGATGTGGCACTTGGGGACATGGTTTAGTGATGAACTTGGCAGTGCTGAGTTTCCGATGGACTTGATGACTTTAGAGGGCTTTTCCAACCTTAGTGATTCCATGATTTTGATTCCCCTCCCCGGCAGGCTGCAGAAGGAGGTCAGGCTGGCGCAGAAAGCAGACTACTCGACCCAGCGAGTGGCCAGCCCCCTGCCCTACGACAAGATCTCGGTAAGGCATGTCCCTCCCTGTGGGGTTTTTGGTGCTCTGCTGGAGGGATTCCTACATTGTGTAGGCCCCCCACCAGCCAGGCTGGGGCACTCCGGAGCCTGGTCTCCACAGCTGTTCCTGCTCTCTCTGCAGCCCGGGGACAAGACGCTGGCTCAGAGCGCCCAGATGTACCACTACCAGCACCAAAAGCAGCAGATGATCTCCCTGGAGAAGTAAGCAACCCGTCAGCAGACAGCATGTCCTGCCGTTAACTGGGGTGCCCCTAATCCCTGGGCTTCAGCCCCTCTCTCTTTAAGATGAAACTGGATGTGGCACTTAGTGCCATGGTCTGGTAACCACAGCGGTTGGCGGTAGTGGATCGAGGGTTGGACTTGATGATCTCAGAGGTCCTTTCCAACCCATCTGATTCTATGATTCTATGATTCTCCCCCACAGGCATAAAGAGGAGCCCAAGCTGCCTGACTCTGCATCCTCTGATGAGGAGAATGAGGATGGAGACTTCACTGTGTATGAGTGCCCCGGGCTGGCTCCGGTACGCGGGCGCAGGGGAGCTGGGGGTCCCTGTGCATGTAGGGGGAGTCCAACATGTGCCTGGGATGTGTAAGGACCTTTTTCCACATGTTCTTCATCAAACCTTGAGGTAGTCCAACCCCTCTGCTCCCTCTCATTGGAGCTCTCCAGGGGCAGGAGTGCATGTTCTGGCACAAGGCTTTTCCCTGGGAGCAGAGAGCCAGGGCAGCCCTTGGCACACCTGACCCACCTTCCCTGTGGTGCCAGGGACACGGTCACTTCAGGCTCCTGAGCACCAGGAGTGGAGGGGCTAGTCCTAGTGCCACCCCAGCGTCTGGAGCATGGACCTGTGACCTCTCAAAGCCAGGAATGTCCTCACTGGCTGGCAGGGGACCCAGGGGAAGGGCACCTTCTAACAGCCCTGGGTACAAAGAGCACAAAGGGCTGGTGAGAGGGCTGGTGAGAGGCCTTTCACATGGTAATAGGTGCGGAGCCCGGCCATCAGGGCCCAGATGGAGGGTCATCATTGGGTCTTTACAGGCCCATTAAAGGGCACTTGATGGCAGGGAGGCAGGCAGTCGACTAGGCACCCTACTCCTGCTGGGGGGCCCATCCTGGGGTCCCCAGTCTGAGCAAGGAGCCCTATTCCTGACAGCCACCCTGGGAATGCTGTCCTGCGATCCCCAGCCCAGCTGTGGGGTCCCATTCCACCTGGGAGGGTGCAGGACTCTCACCCGCTGCGACCAGGGTTCGATTCCCAGCCCCCCGGGCAGATGGAGCTTGTCAGCCTTGTAAGGCAATCCATCTAAGAGAAGGTCACTCTAAACAAACCTACGTTCTGGGGCCCTCACTGCCACTGTCCAAGCTTGCTTGGCCCCGGCAGATGAACCTCAGGATTAAAGGGTGGGCTCAGTTCAGCGCACACTGGGTCTCACCTAAAAAATCCACTGCGCAGGCTCGAAGGGTTAATGACCTTTCCTAAATCTTCGCTCGCGAAGACTGGCCATTATTATTTACCCCAGCACCCCCAGCCCCACCTGGCAGGGAAGCAGCACCTTTTCAGGAGTGATGAGGGTCCTGGTGTGTCACCCCATCGCAATCCACTAGGTCACCTCCCTCGTTCCTGCCACGTTGGGGTTCAGACCCAAGCCCCTTTGAATGGGGCAGCTGAACCCCAATTGTTTTCTGACCTCCTGCCTTTTCCTTTTCCCATCCCACTCCCTCCACCATGGCAGACTGGAGAAATGGAAGTGAGGAACCCGCTGTTTGACGACTCCTCCTTACACCTCTCCAACCTCAAGTCGCACCAGTAACACCCCTCCAGACTCCTGCACCCGAGCTCGCTACAGACTGTGCCTGCAGCCGGGGCCTGGTGGGGCGGCCCGTGCCGGAGGGGCACCCACAGCCGGCCAAGGACCACAGACCCCGCGCTGCCAGACTGTTCGCCTGCCCAATAAACACCCACTAACAGCTATGGGAGCGGGGATTGCCCCCGTTTCCAGCGTCCTTGTCCTCTTTGCTGCTGTGATCGCGTCCCTGCCTTGCCCTTTGCTTCACTGCCCTCGGGGACATGCCAGCCCTACACGTGGGGGGTGGCTGCTGCTTTGGCACAGAAACTGGGGGGTCTGCGGCACTGTCTCTGCAGCTGGCTTTAAGGAGGGGGCTGCTGCCCTGGCTGCAGCTAGGCTGACGTGAAAGGGATGGAGAGAGGGTTAGAAAGCAGGAGAGGGCCAGGAGGGCTGGGCATGCTCATGTCTGGCATCAGGGCTGCCAGCCTGCCCAGGGATGGAGCCTTTCCCTGGAGCAAGTGGCATCACTAAGGGCTTCAGTGCCCATTCTACCCCCTCCTTCCCAGCCTGGGCAGCCCCTGGCAGCAGGACAGTGCTCTGGGAGCCAAGGGCAGGACCAGGAGTGGCTCAAGCAGGTGCTGGCATCACTCTCCAGGATGCTCCTTCAGATGCTGCCCTGGGGCGCAGACAGTCCCAGTGCCACTGTGGCCTGGGAGCCCATGCCAGGCGGTGCTGGCAGAGGATGAGCTTTTTCTTACCCCAGGCCGTGGTGGGGTGAAAACTCAGAAAAAGGGTTCAGGATTTTGTTTTTAAGCCTATGTGGCTGTGGGGGAGGAAGGAGCAGGACTGAAGGGAGCAGAGGTGGCTGGGAGGGGTAGCCAAGGCATGGAGCCCACGCCCTGGCAGCATCCCTGTGGAGTCTGGCACTGCGCACTCTCCAGGCATCCCTCCGTGGCAGGAGACAGTCTCCCCTGCTCCATCTCAGGCACCTCCTGGGCCTCAGACACCCCCTGCACCCCTCTCTTACCAGTGTCCAGGCTCACCAGCCCTCACCAACACGTCCCTGCTCGGAGCCCAGTGCTGCTCCCCAAAGCCTCCTGGGTGCATTGGCCGTGACCTTCCAGCAGAAGGCCCAGGACAGGGTTTGAGTTACTTTTCACAGATTGTGGCTTCATGTCCAGACCCTGTAGTGGTCTGTCATGACCACAGGTGACCTGTTGCATGGGGGTGACCTCTTGCACTCACGGAAGCCATTGCACGCTCAGGCAGACACAGGCAGGGCAGGCAGCAGTGGCAGGGACGTGCCGGTGACATGGTGGTGGCATGGGGCCGTTACCGTCCCTGTCCCTGGCGGGGTGGCTGACAGAGGCTGTCACAGCACAGATTCTGTCCCCATGTCCTGTGCTGCCCCTCCCCATGGGCTGCTGCCCCTCTCCCCACACCTCTCATTGTTGTTGTATGAATTGTAGTTCTTTTAAAAGATTTTATTAAAAGACCGTGTTTGAGACCCATGTGAATGTGTAGTGTGGGACCCACGGCTCCGGGGGTTCCTCTCGAAGCGGGGTGGGTCAAGGAGACAGGGGAGGGAGCATGCAGTGGGTCCTCCAGCCCCAAACCTTCCTTGGGGAATAGCGAGTAGCCATCCTGCTCCTGCAGCTGGAGGAGCCTTTAAAAACCTTTCGGAAGGGTTTTCCCACACAGAGAAAGAACTGAGGGTTTATTTTCTTCTCAGTATTTGCCAGGAGAGGTTTCCCCAGGGAAGAGTCGGGTGGGAGCCCCCGCACCCAGCCCTGAAGCACCGAGCACCCACCCTCCCCTCCTCCCCTCCGCACATCGCTCCCAGGGCCCTTCGCACCTCGGGAATGGCAGATAAGGGCTATCGCGTCCCCTCATTGTGTGCAGCCGAGCTCCTTTGATCACGCCAGCCCCCCCATCAGGCTGATACCATCTCTCCTGGTTTCGGCAGCCGGAGGTGGGTGCTGACTCACCGCGAAAGCACTAGCCAAAGCACCCAGCCGGGATGCTTCTCTCATCGGTTCTCCAGCTGCAGCCGTGGGTGATGCGCACCCCAAATAACCCAAGACCCCCCCAGGGCTCAATCCTGGGGAAACACATCCTCCCACCCCCTCTCCCGAGGTCCTCAAATTTGTCCTTCCTTTGTTCTCAGAGCTCACCAATCTCTCAGAGCACGTCCAAACTTTTTGGGAAGTTCTAGCTTGGAGTAAAACCTGTCTGTTCCTCCTGGGAAGACCCCCTTGCTCCTGGTACAGCAGTTGCAGGAGCCCTGTGTCCCCTGGGAATCTGCATCCCCACAACATGTGCCGGCACGGAAGTATCATTTGTCCAGGGCCAGGGGCACCTGTGCTGCAGACATCCCAGGACACCGTGGGGCTGGGTGCAGGGTCCATGCTCAGGCCCCTCCTCAGTTTTCCCAGCTGTAACACAGCAGGGAGGACCCACTGGTGTGTTCGGGCAGTGTGGTGGTGAGGGTGTGACTGTAATGAAAGCCCAGGGTCTTTGTAAAGAGGCTCTGGGATTTTCCCCTCAGACAGGTTTGGAAGAACCGACTCCAACCTGCCCACCCAGGCCAGCTGCAGCCCAGCAAGCTGCACTGACAGGGAGCAGGTCAGTGTTCCTCCAGAAATGGGGCTTCTGGAGCTCAACCCCCTGCCCACCCTTCCCTAGAAGGTCCTAGGGTGACCCCTTCATCATGGGACCCTGACCCAGCATGTGCAGGGCTGCAGCCCCCTGAGGTGTGATTGCCCTCAGTGGGCAACTCAGGGGGACCCAGCACAGGGCTTCTCCATCACCTGCCACAGTAAAGGGTGGGCTGACCATGAATAAAACATCATCTGTGGTCATCCACTCTCTTAAAATCTCATCCCCAAGTCACACCAGTGCCACACCAGCACACGGAGCAAAGGGAGGTGCATCTCTGCCTCCCCCCAGCCTGCTGCCATCTCAGTGAGCCAGAAGAACAGATGCCCTTCTTTCCGTTCCCCTTTTCCTCACAGGATCTCATTGATCCCTAGCCGCCTTAGACCACAGAGCCTGGCCAAGCCTGGAGCACCAGCAGGTTCGGCCATGGGGTGATGGAAGGCTGCATCCATCCTTCTCCTCTGGATCAGGCAGAGGAGACAGTTGGCCATTGGTGCTCAGTGACCCCACACAATAACCAGGCAGCTTACATAGCTCCCCCAAAATCACCCTATTGAAATGTAGGGGGGGACACACACCGAGAACCCCCACTGACTCCCTCCACATCCCCCAGCTAAAACCATCACTGCCACAATGGGCCTGGCTCCTACAAAGGGGCCGGTTCAAAGTCAACGTCTCCCTTCCCCTCCGTCTGTATATGAAAAGAGCAGGAATGCGTTTGAGGGCGGGGGG